TTTTCCCATTCTGTAGGTTGTCTTTGGTTTGTTGACCGTTTCCTTTGCTTTGCAAATCTTTTTATCTCGATGAAGTCCCAATAGCTCATTTTTGCCCTTGTTTCCCTTGGGAGGCAATAAGTTTTAATCAACTGTTGCTATAGTTCAAGTGTGAAGAATCAAAGGACTTGAATTGTGGTAGCAACAGTGGGACTAGATAAATAAAACTTAACTGTTGAAAAGTTGATTCTATAGACCGATGATGTGTAAATTACAGGAGGTGATGAAAAGAAAGAGTTCCCAATTTAGCCAAGAGTGTGAATTCAGGCAAGGGAGAAATACAAGGTTTATGGGGAAAATGGAAGTCTTAGTCATCTATGGCATGTTGTATTTATGGGGGTGATAGTGGATCTAAGTAGAAGTACCCCATGGTAGCTAGGAAGAGGGACTTGGGGAAGGTTAGGGCTGAAAATAGATTTGGGTATCATCTGCATGGAGATGACAGGATTACTGAGATGAGTAAAAGAGAACAAAGGAAATTGAGACTGGAAGAAAAAGGTAAAATAATTAATAAAAGAAACAGAAATGGCCACAGAGGTATTAAAAATCCAATAAGTACAATAGCGTAGAATATAAAGATAGGATAGTCAACAGGATCAAATGCACAGAGAACATAGAGGATGAGGACTATGAAAAGAATATTGGGGAATGGTCCCTGAAGACCCTTGGTGATCGGGCAAGAAAAGGTGGTGTACAAGTCAGATTTCAGAGCCTCAGGCAGTTGTGGCAGACTGGAAATGGAAAATAGGATAGGAACAAAAGAGCTAAGAATGTCCAGAAAACTTTTTTTAATGAAAAATTGTTATTATTATTTGAAAGATTTTATTTATTTATTTGAGATAAAGAGAGAATGAGCAGGGTAAATGGCAGAAGGAGAAGCAGAGTCCCCAGCAAACAGAGAGCCTAATGTGGAGCTCAGTTTTGGGACCCCGGGATCATGACCTGAGCGGAAGGCAGATGCTTAACTGACTGAGCCACCCAGGTGCCCCCAAGACTTGTTTATTATTGACAATAACATGGAAGATATTGATAGAAGGGGAGATTTAAAGATGCATCAGAGGGAGAGAGTCTGTTGCCTCCTGTCAAGTTTTTTTGCCTGTTGTCTCATCTGGATTCTTCCATTCCCTGTATTAACACCAATTATGTCAGCCCCCCACTGAAAGACCTCTCTGGGTGTCTCATGGCCAGTGGCAAAGCAATATTCTTAGCATAGCAGACAAGATGCCTTGCACTCTTGTTCTAACCTTCTTTTCCCATTTTATCCTTTGCCACTCAGAGGGCACAGGAGATTTCAGAATTTTTCCAGGTTGGGTCTTTGTACACATTGCTCTCTCTGGAAAACCCTTCTTTCCATCTTCCACATGGAAAATGCTAACTCATCCCTCAGCCAGCTGGCTAAAATGTCACCTGGCTTTTGAACTCTTTCCTGACTCCCCAGGCCCAGTTCGGGTCTCCTGCTTTGGTACTTCAGCTGTAGGCTGGACACTCATCTTTGTCCCGGCGTCTTGCACCGTAAATCATCAATTTCCTTAGCGGTGTTCTCCGTTAGACTGTATGATCTTTGAAAACAGGGACATTTTTATTTTTGTAATCCCCATGTCTGGGACAGAACAAACTCTTGCATAAAGCATCAGGAATGAATGAGTATTAGTGTAAGGAGATGTATCTTGAGCTATAGAGGATGGAAGTGCTAAGTGAAATAAGCCAGACACCGAAATACAAATACTGCATTGATCTCACTGATGTGTGGACTCTAAAAAGTCAAAGTCACAGAACCGGACTGCTGAATGGTGGTTGTCCAGCACTAGGGTGTGGGGGAAATGGTGAGAAACTGAGCAAAGGGTACCAGCTTTCAGTTATAAGATGAAAAAATTCTGAGAATCAGTCACTGGAGGTAATGCCATATTTCACACTTAAATGTTCTTAAGTAGATCTTAAATGTTACCACACACACACGCGCGCACACACACACACACACACACACACATACACACACACAAATGGTAACCATGAGGTAAAGGATGTGTAAATTAATTTGATTGTGGTAATCATTTCATGATGTGTATTGTATTAAATCACTGCACTGCACTGCACTCTAAAAAACCATGCTGTACAAAGTAAATATATACAATTTTTATTGGCCTGTCATGCCTCAAAAAAGTATGGTGAGGGGGGGAAGCTTTATGAATTTCAGCGAGTTAATTTCTCGGAACCTGAATTTCTTCTTGGTCATATGAGAATAATACTTCCCTTACAATGTGCTCGTGAGGAGAAAAGCTACAAGACATGGTAACCAGCATTTAGTAATCATTAATGTTAGAATTATTTCCAACTCTACCTTCACAGCCTCTATCTCTTAGTTCCTCTCTTGTCTTGGATTAGGCTGCAGCTTTAATCCATTCTCTAAAGAGAAGTTTTTTGTTTGTTCTTTAAGCAACATTTTGATGCTAAGAAATTTAAACTCAGGTCCATCTTTCCGTACTAATGTTACATCTTCCTAAATGAGTCACTTGACAGGAAGTGAATTCAGCAAAAATCTAAAATTGAATATATGGGTTGATTTAGCAAGTTCACAATGAAGTCTGACTTGTTTTAAGAGTTTTCCAAGTAACTGCCCAGAGGAGGCCGAAGCTTTGAGGCTTCCTACACTGCATGGAAGGACACCCTTCCTGTCTTATCCTCAGTACTGTTTTGCCCTAAGTGATTTAGAACAGCTCTTTCCATTTTTTTTTTTTAAGCAGCATTTTTGTGGTTAATAAAAACATGCGCTTTCAGCTTTTTTGTATAGATAAAGGAAAAGATTCCACATCAGATTTAGATCAAGAGATAGATTTCAGAAGAAAATGATGGATGTGTCCTCTGGGAGCAGCAGAATGCCGCAATGTTCTGTCTCTGGCCGCTCGAGTTGAAGGCATTTATGAACACTTCCACGCCCACGCACATCCACAAACAGTGGTCACCACTGCAGCTCCAGACACTGTCTCGCTCCCCAGTCTCATTTCCAAAGTGCATCCGTTGTTTTCCATAACATGAAATAAATCCCCCTCTCTTGCCCAGTGGTGAAAAGCTTATATAAATACTAAAACTTCAACTATTCCCCTGAGTTTTCTGTTGGCAGGCCGGCAGCTATGGGTTTGTTGGGATCTTGACACGCATTTTCTGTGCAGATCTTTGAGGCCACTTGGGTGAGTCCGGTGGTGATAAATTCACTTGTCTTGAAAATTTATCAGGTTAGCCACGATAATGCTCTGCTTATGGAAACTTAAATGATTGACACCCAGATTGAAAGGGCTCCAGGTTCAAAGTATCTCTTTTATTCTTTCAGCATATATCATTCTGGTGATATATATGTCTTAGGAAGTCTTGGCCAGGAGATGATTTTAACAGTCCTTAAAAAAAAAAAATAAGGTTGTGAAGAATCAATTAATATAAGATATTTCATCTTGCATGGTGGTGTTCCCATAAGAGAATGCTTTTCAGTATGTAGAGGTGAAGTATTTGATTGTGTACTAAGTAGGCATAGTTAACATTACCGCCTGTAATTAAAATGGACAATGGAAAATCTTTATTCATCAAAATGGTGAGATTAGAAAAGTGTCCTCTAAGTACTGATATTGTTTCCACCCTTGTTGTAAATGGTGGAAGAAATAGTGCATTCTCCATTATAATTTCCTGTGGCATCTGCCAACCTAAGATTAATTCTAGTTATGTCTAAGATTGCTGAGTGAAGTCCGTGAATACTATTTCTACTGTATTTCCACTTGCCCGCCCATAAGCCTTCCACTTGCTGCCAATAGTCTATTTTACCTAATATGTTTTTAAAAAAATCTCTTTTCACCTAGATAATTTCTTAACTAGAAATAGTTTGCTATTTTAAAAATTAGTGATTCTATATTCTTCGTATATTACAAATTATGACTGTTGAGTTGTCTTTGAGGATCCAAGATTTTACTTCTGTTCCACTGTCTTAACAAGAGGAGATATAAAACGGTGAATCTCATCAATGAATTAGGATCCCTTTCCTTGAGACCTAAGGGAGAAAACAAAGTCACTCAAATAAGCTTTTTATCTGCGAAGTCTAATGTAAATTACAGAAAAGACAGAACAGAGGAAAAGGACTTGGCTAGATTTGAGTGTTGCTGTCTAAACAGATATATATCCGTCTTCACATGCCTGGATTTGTTCTGATTAGTAAGTAGTAGTGCAAATAAGTAGCTAAAGTTGTGTTGCGGCTGTTGATTCTGGTATATTTTAAATATAATGGAGGTAGAACATATATATTTCTCTTTTTTAAATTAAAGACTATCTATTTGAGAGAGAGAGAGAGAGAGAGAGAGAGAGGGAGAGCGAGAGCAGACTCCTTCCTGAGTGGAGGGCCCAGTGTGGGGCTTGATCCTAGGACCTTGAGATCATGACTTGAACTGAAATCAAGAGTTGGACGCTTAACTGACTGAGCAACCCAGGCACCCCAAACATATAGCTTTCTTTTAAAACAACTACATTTGTTTTTGTTTTGAGAAATTTACCTTAAACTGATGTACTACTATGCCTGAGACCTAAAAAACACTTTGCACAATGACATCCCCTCCCAGTTGCAATTATATTATTGTATTTATAAAGTGCTCAATACCACAGCAATTTAAGCTCAGTTAAAACCATTCCCCACACAATCTGTGTCTTCTGCAAGGGATCCTCTGTCAGAAAGCACACAGGGACAGAAATAGGAGGGATTATATCTCTAATGGTAGACCTTCCAACAATGGGAGCCAGGTGGCTATTCTTAACCACTCCTGGGCAAGTCAAGTTGTTTCTATTAGGCAACATCCTCAAAACTAGGAACAAAGAAAACCCAAGGAACATATTCTTGTCATTACTGGTTGCTTCAAAAGAGGGCCATATGAGAAAAAATGTTGTGTTACATTCTTTGTAAAAAAATGCCTCTTTTTTGGGTCTGTTCCTAGGTTTGAAGAAGAAATGACCAGAAAGTGGTTATACCTCTTCGAAGGCAGCGGGGTTGCATATGGCCCAATCAACGACATGAAGAACGTATTTGCAGAACCCCAGGTTTGGTTTTTGAACTTTTTAGTACATGGCAGTTGAAAACACAAGACATTGCCTCTCTTTCTTTATCCAGTTTGATTCACATAAATACACGTGAGCCATTGGTCATGGGCTTCCGTCACATAATGTGATTTTTGATGGTGGCATTAGATTGTGAGTCTGAAGTAAAAAGAATCAATTTAGAACTGGCTGTCTACAGTCAGACCCATCAGATCTAACGTATTTCTGCAGCAGTCACTACATAAAGTTTGCGAGTTCAGGACATTTGTTTCTCCTGAAAAATCGGAAATGTAGACAATTGAGAGATTGGGCTCAGGCCCTCAGAGAACATTCTGTGTAGAAGGACGTATGACAGCTTTTATAGTTGTTATATAGTTTGTATAGTTTTTAGTTAGAGCCCACATCTCACCAGATGGCTATCTTAAAGTGTCCAAAGCAAGTCAGAGTTAACTTTGCAAATGGGAGGCTTTTATATATTTTGATTAATAAAGTACATTATTTATGAAGAATCAGTCATACTTCAAATAGAGGTTTGTACTGTACAATTCTTATAGACTTCTTCTTGGGCCCCAGGAATAAGGATCACCTGAAAAAAATGAGTTTTTTTTCTGTAACATTGTTCAAATTATTATTTTTAGATGCTATCAAAATTTTTTGATTTATTACTTTAATCAGTATAACTGCAAGCAATTTACTGTTTCTCAGAGTCTCATATTAATCCCAAAAGGTAGAGGAACCCCATTTTTCTACGAAGCTTTCACTATGATTATTCATATATCTTAGCAGCTTCCACCTCTTCAAAATTATAGGCCTGAAAAGATTCTTTATATTGTAACCGATTTTTCTTTGAAATGAAGTACTGAAAATGGAAGATGATTTTTCTAAGGGAGGAGAACTTTGTTGAAAACTGACCTAACTCTTTAACTTTGGTACCTATCTTCTACATGAGTATCTGCTGCAAGGAGAATTGACATGTATTTAATTCAATGTTGACGATATTTACTGGAGAAAAAAAATGAATGGATTCAGAAATTCTGCTTTGTGTTTTCTTCCTGCCAAGATCCTGAATGTGGCAAGGCTTTGTCCGGAATAAAACAATGGCCGATAAGTATTTGAGATAAGGGGGCCCGCTGGATACGCTGGGTACATAGTGAGTTTATGTGACCAGGTCCTCGCTGCATCAGCGGGTTAATGCCTGGAGATCGATGCCTCCTTGCCCCGAGGCTGCAGTGCGCATGCTCTGAAATGTACCAGACCCAGAGGACCAGTTTTCTCACATTGTAGCTTCAAATGAGGCCAAGCTTTGCCTCTAAGTTGTTGTGGGGGAAGGGGTGGGTTTTACTATTATTTTCCTGCTGAAAAGTGGTACCAGCTGTGTAGGATTTGGCGTTTAACTCGGTTTGAGGGCACCTTTCTCTAGAGATCATTGCTGAGAGTTTTATCATCGGCATTTCCATCATTCAACCTGTGTTTCTTCAGGCACAAAGACACCAAGGTAAAGAACGTTATTTTAAAAATCTCTGGGTATCTTCTAACATTGCCTATTGTCTAGGTTTTGATGAACAAGGAACCAAGGTTCCACCCTTCAAGTTCACCTTATGGGCTGCTTCAGATTGAATATAGGATAGTAGGATTTTCATTCCCACTTTTCCCTTGTAGTTCGGTTCATTACTTTAATCGTTCTATGGCAACTCTTGGACCCGCATTAGTTTCTAATATTGGTCTACGGCATATTTTTAGCACTTCAGTCATTTTTCAAATGGAAAAGATTGCTGTTACCTCAGCCGGGATACTGACTTTTGCTACTACCCCAGGAGTCTCTGAAAATTGCCTTCTTATCCACCAAAAAGTAGATTCTAACTGTTACCACTCTAATATCAAAAATTCTTAATCATCCAGTGATAATTACTGACAGTTGTACCCAAGCTCCAAGAGTAGAGTTGGTCTCTTTAATATATAATCTCATTCTTTGCAATTTAAAATACCAAACATGCACATAAAACTTATCTGGAGTTTTAGAAAGACTAGAGAGCAATGTAGTATTGTTACATTTTAAAAATTAACACGGATGACTCTGGCAATTGTGTGTAGAACTGTTTGGCCCAAGAGGTAAGGACACTTGGCTCTTTTAAAAAGAAGTCCTTATCATTTTGAATATTGGAAGGAATGTAAAATGCAAAAAAATCAGGGAGTTATGTTTTTGGACTACTTAAAAAAATTCATTTGCCAAACCTTTATTGTACTTATGTACCAAGTGCTAGGGATTTAGCATGACTTTAGTAATTCTCTTCCTTTCTGAAAAAATAAATTTAAAATCGACTTAGATGGCAGAGAGAGAGTAAATGCTATTGATGTATGAATCAGTGAATGAATGAGTTGGTTAACTTACCAAGTATAGGTTTTCCAAATGACGGAGGGGCTATTGTGCTCCCAGTGGTGGGGCTGACAACCTCTTTGTATAGCCTTTATTTGGAAAACTTGTGTTGAAAAGCGCTGCATAATGGTTAAGACCCTGGAGTCCTAGCTGTTGGGCAGTTTTATAAACTTACTGGGCTTCGGTTTTCTCAACTGTAAAGTGGTGTAATAGGATCTTTTCTCTCTACTGTCCTGTTACGTGAGATAACGTTTATCAAGGGCAGCAGGGTTTGCCAGAGGTAAAGGTGCAAGACCCGGTATTAGCTCCGGTTATGATCGTACCCTTATTTACTGTAATATTTTGGTTAAATAAAAAAGCAAAACCTTTGCTAAAGGTTATGTTTTTGTTTAAAAAACACCTTTGTTTCGTGGCTACAAACAAATTCAGTGCGGCAGTGGGGCCGGGGATCCCTGGCTTACAAATCAAGCTGTAATATTCTTTAAAAAAAAAAAAAAAAAAAGGCATCCTTGCACTCTGTGCCAAGAACTCCTCAGCCCTTCATCATTCCTGATTGCTGCAAGCCCTCTTATTTTTTGTTTTCCGTAAAAGTGTCATTTCCGTTTAAGGTGTCCTCCCTTGTTTTTCCCCCATGAGCTGCAGAGCTTCTTGGCTCCGGGTGCATGCAACCGGCCACTCGCGCTCAGACGTGGAACCCCGCGGCTGGCCTGTGGCTGGCTCCCCGCGCGCATGCGCTGCAGCAGCCAAGCTGCTCCCTCAACTGGAAATTGATTTGGGTGAAGTACAGGGCCTGGAACATGGCGCCGGCAGTGGGGCTTTGATGAAGTGAAGAGGGGTATGTCTCACCAAAAAGAAGAAAAAAAAAAAAAAACCAATCAGAAGCATCCAAGTGCAAGAGAGGATTTTCTGGGGGCCTCCTTATCCAGTGGGCCATTCGCCTTTCATCTGTGGTTTGGGTTCCCTCGGCAACAAAAATGTACGTGATGGTAGAAACTATTTCTAACCTAAATAATTTCATCATGGCCTCATGTTCTGAGGAAACTTGATTTTTTGGCTCAGCTGAAGGAGCAGATGATTTATTTATTTTTTTTCTTGGATAGATGAGAGGTTGTCTACCTTTGAGCCTCTGATTATCTGCTGCAGATGCTGAAAGGTTGGAAGGATCCTCCAAGCGTCCACTGTTAAGTCAGTCAAGAATACTGTGCGGGTTTTGGTCTGTATTTACTGAGAGCTTAGAGAAATTTTGATCTAAAAGCCTTTTAGTGGTAGTTTTATTGCTTTTCTCCCTCGGTGATAAATTATCTGTGGAAAATTCTGTGTATTCTGTAGGACTGAGTAATATTGATTATCTGCATGTAGATTTTAAGAGTCATTTTTTAAGTGCTCTCTTAAAATATCTTTTTTTAACCAGGCCAAGATTGTGCAGTACATTAAAGGAATTCTTAAAAAGTTTAAAAAACTTGCTAGATGACCTCAGTATGGTCCTATTTAACATACCCTGGGGAACATGTGCATGAAATGCATTGTGGTTTGAGGTTTTCCAACCCAAACAAACTTAAAAGAAAATGCAGCTTTTAATAGAAACTATTCAGATTCCTATAAAAATAGGTATGGATCCCACCAATGAGAGCAGTTAACAGCATCATTATCTACCATGAGAATCAAAAGAGATTGTGTGATCCTGTTTTTTGTATTTTGCTTAAGACCGTGTATCTGGTGATTAAGTGTATTCTTCGACTGAACTGTGCAATTAAAATATACATAGATATGAATGACTGAATCTCTGATTAATGTTTTGTTTTTGTTTTGTTTTTGTTTTTTCCTCCTTGATGCCATGACCCATGGGTGGGGAAGAGAGGGCAACGGGTGTCGCCAAACTGGTGTTATTTAACAGTCTTCACATTTCTACCACACAAGTTGAATCCATCAGGTGTAAGACATCACCCCGAAGCATTACTTCTGAGAACTATTGGGAGGGAAGTATCAGAACTGAAATATCACAGCTGGCCCTGATTTTAGCCAGTGCCAAACACCTGCAGGCTCTAAAAGGATACCAAAACAAAACCCCACCCCGTGGCAGCAAGCCATCCCTTAACAACCCTTCCTTAACTTTGTATCACCATCAAAATTAATTTAACATTTTCTACAGAAACCTTCTTCTTCCTGTCCCAGAAGGCCATTACAACTCCTTTAGCAAATCTTTCGTATGGGATAAATATGTCATAGAAGCAAACAGAGCAAAGTATTGAAATATTTGATAGCTTCAAATTATCTGTTGTTTTCATATCATCATTTGTGGAAGCCTGTGAAGTTGGAGGTTTTATTAATCTCTAGACTAGCTCATATTCTCCAGGCGATTTGGTTTTTTAGCACATTCTGGCAAACTATCTGAGCATCTGGAAAAAAATTCCTTCAAAATTCATATAGTAAGTGTCAGAATCACCCCAAAATACAAAGCTGTTTTTCAAGCCCTTTCTACACTCACGCGTGCACGCGCTTCTGCACGTGTGTGCAGGCACACACACAGACACACCCACACCCACACGTTGTTGATGCGTTTTAAAGATTGCCTTCTCCATGACATTAGCTAATATTTATTGAAATGTGGTTGTGTAGTCCTGGCGGGCTT